GAGGTGCATACTATGTTTTCAGCCAAGTACTGACTTTCGCAACACTCTGCATGTCTCCTTCAGGCCTGTTCCTATCCCTTATAATGGGTTGTTGGAATGAAGTCACCCCTGGACCTTTATGCAGCCACAATTCACTCTTCTCCTCCTCTCTTCCCCAATTTAATCAGTGTGCCTCTCATCTCCAGAACCATTCTGTGGAAATCCTTTCTTCTTTCTTTTGTCTTTCATTAATTTGTTTCCTGTTTGGTGTTTAATAAAATGCCAGTTCTTAGGATTACGTAGGGACTTAAAACTGAAAATCAGTTTTTCTGGGTAATAAATTCTGTTGTGGCTATCAGCGCTCCTGTATTATCTTTAAAGATAGTAAGAGAATCCTAATCTCCTAACAAGGCTTTGTCCTCACCTTGCTCTTCATTTGCTTCATAGGATTGTCATCTCTTCATCTCTCAGTAGAGCTTTACTGTTTCCCTTTTGAAAGTTTCCTTTTTAATAATTTAATTTAAATAACATTTAGACTTTCAGACATGAATGTTATGGTTGAAAAATAGGCTTCAGAGATAGATTTGGGTCTGAGTTTCCACTCCACCCTCACCATATTGACCTGTTAAAGTCTGTAATCCTCACTTTTTTCATTTATAAAACAAGGATTAAAAAAATACTTATTTTATAAGGTTGTTGTGAGAATCAAAGGAAATGTTTGAAAAGTGCTTTGCACAGGGCTCAGCACAGAGTGGACACTCAGTTCTTATGATTAAGATGCTCAACACTAGAATAGATGCTGACTATGTTTCAATGAAAATAAAATAGCACATGTACTCAGTTGAGAAGACATCTTACAACAATATAACTAACTCTGTCCACCTACCTTTTTTGGTCCTGCCTTTGCTGAAGCTCTGGAGTTGCTATCTCATTGTAATACATCTTATTTTTGAAAAATCAGGAAAAGTCTTCAAAAATTTCTTCAGCTGGATCTCGGGATGAGATTGCTGTACTTAAGGACTGAAGGCGAAATTGAACTCAACTCCTACTTACTGGCGGATGTTCTATGGCAGTGATATGCACCATGGGGATGAAAGGGAGGGACCAGAGTGACTTTTGGCTCTTTTTCCCCCTTTACCATATTTTCCCCAATTGGAAGTCTCCATAAGGTCAGGGATCATGTCTTTCTTGGTAGGTTCTCCCTAAATATTGGTTGAATGAATGAACTCACATCTTGGTGTGAACTAGTTCACCAGATCATATTCTAACCTGAGAGAAAAGCATTAGGAGAGTGAGTGTTTTGGTTAGGGAGGGGATGTACTGAGCCACTTTGAGACCCTACCTCTCACCCAGAAAAAATACCTCAGCCTCAACTTAAGAAAACCAACATAATGATGTGAATTCCAAATCCACAGAGACTTGTCCTACGTGCCCTGATTGTCCTACCTGCCCTGATTGTCCTGCCTCAATTGTCCTTTCTGGATTTGCTCTGCTCTTTCTCCTCACCTGCCTCTGGGGCTCTAGCCCTCACTCCAGGCCTCATTCCTGGTTTTCCTGCTCCTCCTACTTCTCATCATCAGCTTGGGCTTCAGTTTCCTCGTCTATCTCTGCCCCCTGGGCTCAGCACAGCTCATCCCCACTGCCTGGTGGGGATCCCTCTGGCTGACTCTCTTTGTGATGAAGGACCCCAGTGAGAGCCATAAAGGATCAAGCTGAGCTCTTCCAGGCATTCTTTCTGGCTCTGCCCTGGAGGGTCTGGTTTAAAGAAAGAAAAGAAAAAAAAGGAAGAATTTCAGAACACAGAGCACTGCTTGAGGAAAGTTGAGTCTACGCACAGTGCTGAAATGTGCATTATGCAATGTACCAGGCACCCCAAGAGAGAGCAAGAGTTGTAATGGTGGTGGAGGGTCACAAGGGACACAAACAAGGGAGGTAGGAGGGTCCCAAAAGCAACTTTACTTTTCTTGTCATGGTTTATTCTTGATGGCACTTAGGTAACAACTGAAAACTCAGTTCAGACAGTTTGTATTAGGCAGCCTAATGTGCCAGGCCCCTAATGTGTGAGGGCTGAGAACACAAAGATGCTGCCCTGGCCCTTGAGGAGTCCCAGGCCAGCAGAGTGCAAGATCCATAAACAAATAATGTCAGTGTCATCCTTGACTCCCAGCTGATTCATCAAGAAATCCTATTGATCCCATCTTCAAAATACATCAGGTTTTCATCTCTTCTGCTTCCCTACCCTGATTCAAGCTGCCATTCTCTCTCACCTAAATGGCAGCAATGACCTTTTAACAGGTCTTCCTGATTCTCTTCTTGCTCATTTTTGGCTCTTCTCAACACAGCAGCCAGATCATGGCATCCTCTGCTTCAAACCCTCTAGCGACTCTCCATTGCACTCAGACTAAAACCCCAAGTTCTCACAATGGCCTAAAAAGCCAGTCAGGATCTGGTCCCTGTTTAGTCTCATCCTTGCTTACTCTGCTCCAGCCACACTGGTCTCTTCCTGTTCTTGAAAATCCCAGGCACACGCCTGCCCCAAGGGCTCTGTGCTGGCTGCACCCTCGGTCCTTTCTCAAATCTCACCTTCTCGAAGGGCCTATCCTGACCACCCTGTTGCAAATTACACCTTCTCCTCAATGCCCCATCTTAGCTACCCCGCTGGCACTGCTCTGTTCTACTTTTTCATTTTTTCCATGACACTCATTACACTCTATCATGTGAAATAATTTATTATTTATTATGTTTATCGTTATTATCAGTCTCTCCTTTGTCTGTTTTGCTCACTGTTAAATCCACAGTGATCAGAACAGTGCTGGCGGCATAGCAAGTATTTAATGAATATTTGTGGAATGAATGAAATGGATGGCTATGAAGTCAGACAGTGATATACACAAGGAACTATAGGGGCACAGAGGGGAGGTACTTGGATTCACTATGAAAGGGAGCTTATGGAAGATTTTCTAGGGCAAGATGATGTCTAACTGAATCTTGAAGGATGAATAAGAACCAGAAGAAAAGTAGGGAAAAAAATAGCTAAGCTATGTTAAGAAGTCAGAAAATAGTGGTTTAATATTATAGTTGGAGGTAGAGGAAAGCCCCTCAGAGTCAAAGGTTTTCAAGGAAATACTGGAAACATGCTGGAGATTCTAAATGCAAGCATTTCATTGCATAGTGCACGTTTTATAAGTTAATAAAATCGAGATAACAATAGCCAGTGCTAACATTGTGCTAAATCAATGTTGAAAAAATGCTCAACTGGAAAAATAATCTCCCTGTTATTCTCTCCCTCAGGCAGTTTCAGTCTAATTTCCTTTTTCATATCATTCATTTTATTAGACGGTTTCACTGGAACTTAGTCCAGAAGGAACCTAGAGATTTCCCTGTAGCTGGGAAACTGCTTCCTGCTTCAAGGGAATTTCCCACTTCACTTTTTAGGGCTGAGCACGTATTTACTCAGGATTTCAAACATCAATTTGCATGCTATTAAAATAGATCAACAGAGTAAGAAGCCAAATTATTTCCTTGATTGAGATCCTGGCCTGGGGTTTGATTCTGTCGTTGGCATCAGCTCTGCTCCTGTCTAGGCCATTTACACGTTATCATGGTCAAGAGCACCTTCTTCTTCCCAGGGCAGATGCCCTTGACTGGGGGCAGCATTCAGAGTAGCAAGAGTGCAGAGAGCTGGAAGGATCCAGGGCTGAAAACCAGGAGAGTTCAGCTTCCAATTTACCTGCTGCCTTTGGCTGGGTAACTTAACTTTTCCAAGTTATCTGATCTTTAAAATGAGATGAAGAATACAACTTGATGGTGACTCAGTCACTTCCGTTTCTAAGCCCAACCACCGGATACATAAAATAGCATGAACAACGCCAACACTCCAGAGAAGTTGTTAGAAATAATGCAGTATTTGGAAACACCAATTAAAGGCCCAAATAGATCAACCTAGTGGTTCACATTATACCAGGAACCTACAAACTCTTTTCAGTGATATGTATCTCCGACTATTCACCAGAAGGTTCAGTAAGGTGAGTCTACTCAAGAACTCTTTATATATGTAACATGCCTACCAGTAATTAAGCCTTTACCAGCTATTTTTTGCTTATTAATTAAGAAACCTACAGAGTTTGATTGGCATGAAGCATACTCCTGGGGATGAGAAGGGGCTTGGAAGAGACAAAAGGTAGAGAAGCCAAATCCAATTCAATACAAATTGCTGATTAGTACTGGGAGAAATGCATCAAGTTAGGTACTGAAACAGCACAGAGGATGAGTTCACCAAAGGCAGCTTCTACTCCACTGCTTTCCAAGGAGCTTTGACACTGAAATAACCTCAGGGTCACTTAGGACATGGATGCCAAGAGGGGCAAGCAAAACAATGACAACAAAGACCATTGCAACCACTACAAGAGCTAACACGTGTCGAGCACTCATTATGTCCTCGACACTCTGCAAAGTGCTTCATACACATCAACTCACTTTGCCCTCACAGTAACTAGGAACTATTATCCCCATTTTATGGATGAAGTAAATAAAGTTGAGAAGCTTGGTAATTTCCCAAAGTCATAGCAAGTAAGTGGCAGAGGTAGGACACACATTTCCCATCTATCTGACTCTCAGCTGCGCCACCTCAACACACTAAATGTGTAAGGAATCATCCTCCAGGGCAAGAGGTGGCTCCCGTGTGTTTGGTCTGGTTGTCTAAGTCCATGTTTACTTGCTTCTATGTGACTTTGATTAAAATTGAGGTTATTAGCTTGCTGCTTAGTGACCTAATGTTGACTGAACTTTTCAGGTCTCCCCAAGGACAGCTGAACAGCTTTCTTTCTCAAATGCATGCAGTGTTGTCCGGAGAGGCTACAGCAGCTCCATTTTAGCCAATGTTTTCCAGCGTCAAGGTTTTCTCATGCATTTAGTCTGCAAACACTTATTGAGGGCTTACTCTGTGCCAGACACTGTTTCTGGGCCTTGGGGAGGCAGCGGGGAAGCTGGCCCCAAGGAGATCACATAGCTCAGTTACTTACCATGGTGCCAGTATACTCCTCCAGCTTTGCCTCAGAAATGGTCTTTTTGTGGTGGAGGAAGAGATCCCGGAGAAAGTTCTGTGACACCAGAGAAGAGTAACGTTTTATATAGTGAGTAAATAAACTGCAAAGATCTCAAGAAGCCTTATTTTAAGGATTGTGTTTTGTTTCAAGAAGGAAACAAAATGCTTTAGCAAGCAATAAATTCAAGAATATAGGGCTGTCAATGTTTAAAGGGAGCTCCTGGAACCCAGAGTATAGCTCTAGGAATGAAAAAAAATTGTCAAAAGTCCTCAATTATGTCTCTTTCCCAGAGAAAGCAGTGTCACCTGTACTTTCTAAACCTTCTAAACACAAACAAGGTTTTTTTTTAAAAAAAAGTAACAGATTTGTATCCCTGTTTCTTGGAAACATGGAAATCAAACTCATGATACACATGTATCAAATTCCCAGTGATGAACAAACCACCCTTCACCCAGCGACAGTTCCCAGCAACACTTACAGAAAGCTCAGCAGCCGATATAAAGCCACTGCTGTCAGCATCGTATTTGCGCCAAATCTGAAATACACGAAAGCCGTGAATCCATTTATCCTCAGATAATTTGGGGTTGACTTATGCTGTTGTCTACTATGGTTCAGCACCTGAAAACAGCCCTTAACTGGGTGCAAATAAGAGTTTGCATAGGGAGCTTTACGCTTTCTTTGGTGCCAGCAATTGTTTGGGCAGAACTCACTAGAAATGAGTCACTGCATTCACTTGGAGATGCTTAGGAGGACCACAACACACCCCCTAAAAGAGATCTTTTGGAAAGCTCAAAATAGAAAGTTATGAAGGGATGGACTTCAATTTGGGGCAATGATGGCAAACTAAGAAACCTTCTTTGTACTAAATTCCTAAAAATGCAGAATCCTTTAAAGACAAGTCTTTAAATTTATAACTCAATTGACAAGAAAGTGAGAGGACTTCTAAGAGGCCAGGCATGATAGGAAAGCACCAACCCAGAGAAGTCATGTATAACTGAAACCAAAGTCTGTCCCAAGTATGTCTGCTGATCTCTGACAACTTAGCCTGCAGCTTTATCAGAAAATTGCATAGATGGTAGACAGGAGACAAATCCTGGGGCCCATGCAAGGTGGGAAATCAAACTAAAGCTCCCTCATAAGTCTACAACCCCAAATAGCAATAACCTTAATGACAGCACGAATGTCTCCAAAATAAATTATGCTGCAGAAAAGACCCCTAAAGAATCTTGCCTGTGTCGCCTTGGCTCAGGGTAAAGGAAATAAAAGATCTCTGGTCATTCCCAGTGACCAGCCAACCCTTTCGTTGGTTGCAGACAGCATTCCCCCAGCTGAAGATGCAATTCCTAAACTGGAAGACAGAACAGCTGAACATTTTTAAGGAAACACTGAACTGCTTTCCTTATTAAGTCTCTGATCTTGATTTGCTCTGATTTTGACCCTCTCTGATTCTTCCATGTACAAGCCTCATAACTTAGCAAGTTCCCTAACTTCCGTGTAAAATGAAAAAGTAGCGCTAAGCATTTTTTTTAATTGGCAGATTTTCCATAGACGTAGATTGGGTTACTTGAGTCACCAACTGCAGGGACCTTAATTCTAGACCACGGTCAGGGCCCTGCCTCCATACCCTGCGGGAATGGTGGGAGATATTGCTGCTGCTGCTGCTGTTTGGTGAGAAGCGTTCAGAAACTTCACTGCTTTCTGTCTCTGTCACCAACATTTCTGCCTGAATTTAACCAAACTAAGAAAATAATCCAGTTAAATGTGATGTCTATTCTAACTTTGATGGTGTGACTAAAACTAAGAATGAGAGTTTCAAATAACAAAAAACGTTTTTACATGCTTTTTCCCATGCTATTCTCTAAACATTTTCCATCTAAATGATTTTATAATTTTACTACAGCTGAGCCATTGGAGAGCCAAAGAGTTTTATGTGAATACTATGCATGCGTATCTTTAACGAATGAAAGCAAAATGAAGAGATTTCCAGGCAAACAAAACAGCTCATTACCAACAGACTCTTAGTAAAGGGTATACTCTAGGAAGAAGGAGGAACACAAAGAAGGAAAATCTAAGATACAAAAAGGAATGGTGCACAAAGACGATGGGAAATTTGGGCAAATTAAATAAATCTTGACTGCATAAAATTTGGGGGGTTAAAGGAAACAAGATAGAACTAATATCCTGGACAGTAATGGCATGTGAGCTGATAGACGTATGTTAGGGCCAGAGGGTTTGAAGATCCTGTGGTTCAGAGGGAATGTAAAGATATTAACTTGGAATTTCCTAAAATGTATAGATAGTAATAGATTGTAACAAATTTTGTTCAAAAAAGAAGAATGGGAAAGCTCTTCTTTACAGAAGAAACTGACAAACTAACAGGAAGGAGAAAAAAATGGAATAAGTTAAAACAAAAAAAAAGGAAGTCTGCATAATAATATTTCCTTTTCCCATTTCTCAAGATTATTCAAGACTACACAAGGGCTAACATTCTAATACTTTTTTTCTGATTATAAAACTGTCATATTCATTGTACAAAATTAATGAAAGACAAAAAGCAAAAAACAAAATCTCTAGAATTCCTACCCCAGAGATAGTCACTTATTATTTCTATGTGTTTCCTTTCCATCATATCTCTATTATAAACATAAAACTGACTTGGAGGTCATATTGTCTATGTACTTGAGTGGTTTATTTATTATTTTTATTTAAAATTTTTTGTGAGCATTCTTAAACTCAATTAATTATTTTGAAAATGTCATTTAAAATAATTTGTAAATAATTACAATTTCACACACAATTGGAAAATACGGAAGTACAAAGAATATGAAAATCATCTGAAATCTTAACACTTAAAAACAACCAATATTTATCTTGTCTTTACCTATTGTCTTATTTATGCAGGTGTTAGGATGAATAATTGTGTGTGTGTGTGTGTGTGTGTGTGAGGAAGATTGGCTCTGAGCTAACATTTGTTGCCAACCTTCCTCTTTTTGCTTGAGGAAGATTGTCACTGAGGTAACACCTGTGCCAATCGTCCTCTATTTTAAGTGGGATGTTACCACAGCGTAGCTTGACAAGCAGTGCTAGGTCCACACCCAAGATCCGAACCTGCGAACCCTGGGCCACCAAAGGGGAGTGCACAAACTTAATTACTTCACCACCAGGCCAGCCCCAGGATGAATAATTTTTTAAACAAAGTTAAGATCCTAATGTATATACAATTTTGTTTCTTAATGTTATAATACGTTTCCTCCAAGTCATTAGATATTCTTTGAAAACTTGATCTTTAGTGATGCATAAAATTCCGCAGTGTGGCTTTTCTCTCATGAACCTTCAATGCCTAGAAGAATATAAGCATATTGCAGGTGTTTATAAGTATTTGTGGAATGAAGGAATTATATGAATGTATTATAATTTACCTAATTTTTCTTTCATTGTTAGGAATTTATGTTATTTTTAATTGTAACTGTAAGTAACTATAAGCAACATTTAATGAACATCATTGAGCAGAAAACTTGTCTACGTCTCTGATTATACCCTTAAGATAGATGCCTGGAGAAGATAACTATTAAGTCAAAGGATAAAGGTTTTTTTTAATTAACTCTAGATAAGGAAATTTTAAAAGATCTTGATTACATTTTTGCAAAATTATTTTCCATACAATTATCCAATGTGCATGCCTCCCAACAGAGCACGAGCAACAATCTCAGTGCTTCCTTGCCAGCACTGCATTTATATATATGTATATATATATTTTTTGAGGAAGATTAGCCTTGAGCTAACATCTGCCGCCAATCCTCCTTTTTTTTTGCTGAGGAAAACTGGCAGTGAGCTAACATCCATGCCCATCTTCCTCTACTTTATATGTGGGACATCTACCCCAGCATGGCTTGACAAGCAGTGCATAGGTCCACACATGGGATCCAAACCGGTGAACCCCGGGCCAACAAAGCAGAATGTGTGAACTTAACCACTGCACCACTGGGCCAGCACCCCCAGCACTGCATATTTTTGTTGATTCTCTTAAAATCTTTGCCAGTTTGGTAAAAATTAGTTGTTTTTGATTTGTATTTCTTGGGCTATCAGCATATTTTTACTGTATATTCAGATTTCTTCTGTGAATTGACTATGCATATGCTTGCTCAATTTTACCTGACTTCCACTTGGCCAGGAAGTAAACAAAGTAGTGCAAAGGGATGCTAAGTTATTATCTCCTAAATGGAGATTTGATAACTGTTTCAAGAATGGCATCCTGGATGCAGTAGCTGTTTTGAATCGGCCACTCTGGCTTTGGAGAAACCCTGCTCTGCCCTTCCCTGGTGTTTTTTCACCAAGAGACAGTAACACCTAGAGGCTGAATGAAGAGATGAAAGGAGCCATTTAATTCCGCCTTTAGCTTTTACTCAAGTGAAATGATTGCAAACAGATCTGCTGGCTGGATCGGCACTCTAATAAGTTATGTCTTGATTGTACTGTACCTTCAGAACTAGAATTAGTTGCCAATATTTAAAAATAGTTTCACACAGAGTCCAGATGTCTAGACAGCATTCTTACAAGGCAGCAGTTCACTGGAGCTCCGCAGGGCTGTTGGCTCTAGGTGGAAAACGTGCTCGCCAGTCTCCACAGTCCCCCGCCTGCTCTCCCATCACATTCCTCAGCGTAGTATCTGCCTGGTCCCTTGTCCAAGTCTTCCTCTGGCCCAGGCTAAAGGACTCTGTCAGCTCAGGAGCAGCCTAGGTCAGCCCACTGAGAGAGAATACTGGGGCTTAGGGCCAAAGTCCCTGCTTTATCACCAAGGGATTCTGTGCTTGGTCTTGTCCTCGGTGGGAAGCTCTCCCTTGGGGACTGGGCAGGAGTGGTGGCAGCCAGAGCAGGTGGCTGGGATTCTGACCTCTTCTCAACCCTCATCCTCCATAGAGACTCAACCAAATACTTACCTGCATAAACTCCACACTGCTGTCCAAGGGGGTTTCCTGGCGAAAAAGCAGAAGAAAGTTTTCATCCTCGGACAGGAACATGCTGGAAAGCTAAAGAAATGGGGAGAAATAGCTGTCAGTGACACCGGCCAGTACTCCCTGGGTGAAAGGCATGGTGGAACATATTATAGGGCAGAAGGTCTTTGCTCTCTCAGGATGGCGAGCCCAACTTGAAGTTCTGTGCTCTTGATTGTCACTCCTGATTCACTGATTCTTTCAAAAAGTATTTCACCCTCATTAGGCAGGAAACACTATGCATATTTGCCTTCCATTAGCTTACAATCCAAAATAGCAACAATTATCATTATTATTTAATAGTACATTTGTTAGTGCTTAATATGTTTCAGGCACCTTTTAAAGAACTTCCAGTATTATATGAATTTAACTCTATAATAATAATAGAAAATAAAAATAGCAAATAATTCTTACATGTGCCATGAATTATTCTAAATGCTTACATATGCGAACTCATTTAATCCTAGCAACCTTTAGGGTACACAACACATCATTGTTGTTATTTATGAGTTAAGGAAACTGGGCTACCCAGAGATACGGAACTTACTGTAATTAAGTAGTTAGTAAGTGGTGGAGTCAGGACTTTAACTAAGCCCTCACTTTTTTTTTTTTTTAATATTTTAATTTTTCTCCCCAAACCCCCCTGGTACATAGTTGTATATTTTTAATTGTGGGTCCTTCTAGTTGTGGCATGTGAGATGCCACCTCAGCATGGCTTGATGAGTGGTGCCATGTCCGCACCCAGGATCCGAACCAGTGAAACCCTGGGCTGCCGCAGCACAGCACGCAAACTTAACCACTCAGCCACGGGGCCAGCCCCTAAGCCCTCACTTTTAACCACTATGTTATGCTCATGAGGTGCTGTATATACATCCCTTCAGTGCCATATGCCAAACAGGAATGATTGATGTCTAGCTTAATCTTGAGTGTTAGGGCCAGTTTTATGTCACAACTTGCCTGTAATTGGAATAAGTGAAATAGTCAATGCTATAACAGAAGAAGGTAGGGGAGACCCTGCTACTCTTAAACTCAGAGACACATGAGGTTTTTTGTGTTTTTTTTTTTTTTTTTTTTGAGGAAGATTAGCCCTGAGCTAACTACAGCCAGTCCTCCTCTTTTTTGCTGAGGAAGCCTGGCCCTGAGCTAGCATCGTGCCCATCTTCCTCCACTTTATACGTGGGATGCCTACCACAGCATGGCGTGCCAAGCAGTGCCATGTCCCCACCCGGGATCTAAACCGGCAAACCCCGGGCTGCTGAGAAGCGGAATGTGCGAACTCAACCACTGCGCCACTGGGCCAGCCCCACATGAGGTTTTAAGAAGCCTTAGAACTGACACAGTCCTACATCATTGGATTTTCTACAAACAACCTCAGTTAGGCTCATTTGCAGGACTCCATGACAAAATGGTTGGCATGGATGTCAAAGTTGTGGCCAAGTTCCCAATTGCTTCGAGAACGTCTATCTGGTATTAGTAAGACAACAACATAGTTTTCAGTTACTTACCATGTTTCATTCATTCATTTATTGTCTACCAATGTTTACTGAGCACCACTCTATGCTGTGCTCCATTCTAGGGGCTGGAGAATACAGCCATGCACATGTCATCATGAATGCTTCACTATTTCTAGCCTGACACTTGCGCATACCTTTCCATTAATGGACACACTGATATTTTTACATCAATTATAATGCAGATTATTGGTAACGTATATAATTTTTGCCTTTAAGTAAAAGTTTGGGAACATCTACACTCATAAATCTAGAGTTTAGTTTATTAGTTTTCTGAAAAGGCAGTCTCCTGGTGAACATGTCCATTTTTTATAAGGAGACATTATACAGTATGAACCTATATAGATCCATACCTGTGAGTGGAGTTACACTTACACCACTGCCACTTATTGATGCTGGGAAAGTAACTCAGCTTTCCTCATCAGTAAAATAGGCATAATGCTCCAGGCCTATGTTCTAATAGCTACTGTTGGGATAAAATAACATAATATGTGTGGAAATCCTTTCTAAACGGTGAAGCTTTTTGTAACTGGAAAGAAGAATGATCAGGTTAAAGACAGCCTATCCAAGGCACTGCATGCTTAACAGAGCTCCTTTCTTTAGTAGGTCATCCATAAATGTGGTTCAGTTGAAGAAAAGACAGATGCTGTCTATTTTGTTTTTAATGATCTTCAGAGATCTTTTTAACCTCCAGTGGGAGCTGATGCTGAAGTTTAAATGCATTTATTGTCAGTAAGTTTTTCCTTATATCAAGGTTAATTTGAACAGGACACTGTGCAGAGAGACAAATATTAGATCAAGTAACTTAAAGGCCTCCAGCATTATCAATTCCCCAATTATTAAATAAGTATAAATATTGATTGACCTAAATAAAATAATAGAAGAATCATGCACTCTGTGTTACTAAGCAGATGAAAAAGGAGAGGTGAGTACTTCAAAAATGTTGTCTAGGCCAACTGTCTTGCAGAGTGTTCTAATTTCCCAATCAAATGTAAGATTTTCATTATCTTTCAGAGGAATTTATAGCCCACAAAGGCACAGTTAAGAAAAGTACAGTTGTGAAAGGTACCTCTTTCATCTGTATGTAACCATCTTTAGAGACATCGTGAGTAGCCATAAATTGCTGTTTCAACTTCTGCACATTTTCTTCCATGACTCCATCCTACAATAGGCCAGAAAGAACCACATTAAAGCCCCTGGGATCCCAAAAATGTAGTTAGGATATCAAATATTCAGAGCATACAATCTGATAGTTACGTTAGTCTAACCTGGAAGACAGGTCGCTCAGCCTTTTAAAGCAAGCCTACCATGTTGCAGAAGAGACAACCGTGATGGAGATTTCTTGAACAAACAACCACTAATCACAATCTTGACTAGGAAAGACGTAGCTAGTAAGCTCCTAACATATGAATGAAGAGAAGCTCAGAGACTAGAGTGTTGAGAGAATGAATTTGAACATCATTATATGCTTTGTTTTGACAAAAGATTATATTGTAATGAACATACAGACTTTCTTCCCAAGAACTCAGAGGTTTTGATCTATTTTTAGGTGAAAAGTCTAGTTCTTCTAGGCCCCCAGTTTGCCATAGCTCATTCTCTTAATCTTCTCCTTGGACTCACTGAGGAAAAAATAATTCGAAGAGAAAAAATAATTAAAGAGGAAATGAAAGTGATAAAGTAATTGTTAAATTATGAAAGATGTCACATCTCCCTTCCAGGTACAACCTATTCTATGCATTAAATTGTTCTTCATCAGTGAACTGCAGGGTTATTGCAAGCAAAGATGCTGTATAGAATCAACAGTGGAGAATGAATTCTGATGAAGACTCCAGACTTGATCAGTCGTGCTAAATTCATTCTCTCTAGTACTACCACACTGTCCCTACCAACCAGGTTTCCTCATATGACACTCCATAGAAATAGAAAGAGTGTAGCCTCCCTGGTCTTGGCACCATAGATTGTGTGTGTGTGTGTGTGTGTTTGGGCGTATGGGTATATATGTGCACCATACAGAAAAGCACGATGGAAATCATTCAACAAGATGGGCCTTCATGTTGAGTTTCAGCTTGGCCTTCTAGATTAAGAGTTCTGCCAGGATAACTGTCATTTCTATATCTCTAAAATATAGTATCTGTGGAATGAATAAATGATTCTTTATGGTGAGCTGGGCATTTCCAAAAGAAGTTAACTCACATAGGCCATGTTGTGAAAAAATTAGATTTCAAAGTAAATAAGTATGAAGCCAAAGAAGATAGAGCCAGATTGTGCATGCCACCTTCAGTTTGAAGGCACAGACCCTTGACTTCTGTCCTCTCAGACCTCTGACCCCAAAGACCATGACTATTCCTTGGATGGAAAGCAAAAGAGCCTAGGGCTCCCTCTGTGGTAATTTCAGCCAGCACCAACCCTGCCACCTTATCTGAGACTCTACCCCCAGCAGGGACTTATCGTCTCTGAAGCATTGAAAGAGCCCCAGCACGTGCTGCAATCTGGACATGACGAATGTGTGCACAGCCACGGAAAGAGGTGCTCTGCGATACACGGGCCAGACCTAGACCTGGTTCAGAGGCCAATTCTGAGCATTTGAAAAGAAAAAGGTGGGCAGAGTGAGGGGGGCAAGTAATAGAAACAGTAGCAAGAGCAGCTGATTTTTCCATAAGTCAGTTCCCTCGGAGGCTCTGAGGAGCAGGTAATTAGAAACAGGCTGGTTCCTCTCCAAGATCGACCTGTAGGCAGGTTGCTGTTAAAACCTTAAAATTCCTTTTCTGAGATCTCTGTGATCCATTAATCAGGGGAGGAGAGTAGAGCTATTCAGCCTTCTGAAGAACTGCTTCCCGCTCCTAGACACCAGAGTGAGGCGCTGCCCAGTCATGGAGGGCTCCCTGCTGCTGGTTCTGTACTCGCGAGGGCATTGATGATTAAAAGTAGCTGTCACAAATGATGACTTCCCCTCAACTTAAAAGGCTTCCACTTTTGAAGTCCTGCCCTCTTGTTAAGGACATGCTTAGGGCCTACTCATTTCTCAGCAGGGAAAAAGCCCAGAATTAGGAATAGTTTCCTTCATCATGGTTATCCAGGTAGCATGGAGTGCTTAGCAAAGGTCCCTGTAGCCATCCTCCCCAGGGTAATGCCTCAGCATTTTGAAAGGGAACATGGCACATGATACAATTTTGGGTAACAGTTTAAACAGCTTATTGCCCTGGCTCCAAAAGCTTTCTCTCTAGCCGAGTGCTGAGGAGAGGTACCTGGGGCTACAACCACAGCTCAGCAGGACTGGCCTGATTATGTTAGAATCCCCTCTCCAAGAAGGACATTTTTTTTCCTGGGACAGAGGGTGAAAGGAGATGCAAACTGATTTAGGGTGCTTTAAAATGCAAGATCTTAAGCAGACTCCAAATGTACTGAAATACCTAGCGGATGGGACCTGGGGCTCTGCATTTTAACAAATATAGATAATTCTTAAGCACGTCAGAATTTTATTTCCAAAGCCCAGCCTTCCAACCCTCTTCCTCCCAGCCTCAGGAACGCCTGCATTGAACACAGTTGCACAGGACAGCGGTGAGAGATTTGTTGTCCCCTTTCCTCCAAGGACTATGCCTGCCCTTGTGTGAGAGGGGCCAGATCTGAGGCAGGGGTGATGGTAAGAACAGCCAAGCTAAGCAAATGTTGGAGAGGATGTGGAGAGAAGGGAACTCTCATACACTGCTGGTGGGAGTGCAAAGTGGTACAGGCACTATGGAAAACAGTATGGAAATTCCTCAAAAAATTAAGAATGGAACTACCATACAATCCAGCTATTCTGCTCCTGGGTATTTATCCAAAGACCATAAAAACGTGAATGCATAAAGATACATGTGCCCCTATGTTGATTGCAGCATCATTCACAATAGCCAAGACTTGGAAGCAACCTAGGTGCCCATCAAGGGACAAAGAGATAAAGAAGAAGTGGTATATATACCCAATGGAATACTACTCAGCCATAAGAAATGATGAAATCCAGCCATTTGTGACAACATGGATGGACCTTGAGGGTATTATGCCAAGCAAAATAAGTCAGAGGGGAAAAGTCAAATACTGTATGATCTCACTCTTAAGTAGAAGATAAAAGCAACAGCAAACAATCACACAGAGGCAGAGATTGGATTGGTGGTTACCACAGCGGAAGAGTGCAGGGAGGAGGGTGACAGGGGTGATTAGGCACAGTGTTGTGATGGATTGTAATTAGTCTTTAGGTGGTGAACACGATGTAATCTACACAGAAATCAAAATTTAATGATGTACACCTGAAATTTATATAATGTTATAACCCAATGCTGCTTCAATAAAAAATAAATTTTTTTTAAAAAAAAGAACAGCCAAGCTGCAAGAGAGGGCATCCCTCTTCTCTTTCACTAATGGCAACAGTGCCTCTCAAGTTAGCCAAAGCCCCAGAAGACAGCTGGCAGTGTCCTCAGCTTAGAGCAGACCCTTGTGTTTGAGTAGCCCCAGCCCCCATCCCATGACAGAAAATAAGACACTTTCAGTTTCAAAACTGACAGCAACTTTTCTCCTCTTTTTCTGTAAATCACTAAAGCAAGGAGCCTTCTGAAAATGTGTGAAGTTCCAAGTCTCTGAGAATTTGGTTTTTTGACCACCCAGTTTATTCCAAAGTGTAGAATGGTTTTGCCTTTATTTTTTTGTTTTCCTCAAATACTCCTGTCACGTTTGACAAAATGGCATCTGGCTCATGGGTTTTGGAATGCCATGAGCCCATTTACAGCAGTCAGTGGGAGCAAGGCAAAGAAAGAGAAACAGAGAGAGATAAAGGAAGAGAAAGGAAGCAAAGAGGAAAGAAACTGATGAAAGAAAAGAAATGAAGGACAAAGAGATGAGATAGATAGGAAAGAGAGAGGGAAAGTGAAATAAAAGGGAGAGGAGAAACAACAAGAAAGCATTGAAAAGCAGGGGGAATGGAGATAAAAAGAAAGAGAAGCAAAGAGACAGAAGAGAGACGGAAAGAGATGAAGAGACATAAGAAATAGAGATCAGAGAGATGAGAGACAGCGCAGTCAGGGGGAAATCAAGAGACGATGGGAGATGAGAGCCATGAAACACAGAGGTAAGAAACAGTCGGAAATGGGCAGAAAAATGAGAGGGACAGACATAAAAAGAGAGACAGAATATGAGAGGCAGGCAGAGAGAGAGAGACAGACAGAGACCAAGAGATCTGTGTCGCTGTTGGAGGCTGATGGCAGTCTCTTTTATTCTGAGTTGGCTGCCCCACCACCACCTCAAAACACCCTCCCCGAGCTCTCCTTGGTAGTACAGAGCTCCTAGTACCCCTCATTGGGCTCCTACATGAAAGAGTGATGTGCTTCATATCCTTCCATGTAGACAGTTATATCTGGGGATGGACTAGCTCCACAATTCAATCTAAATTCGACTGTTTCCGGAGCTACTCTGCTTTCCCTTCGTCCTCTGATGGAGTCTTTACCACATTCTCCTGTCCCCAGGCTGCTGTGTCTCTGTGTATTTCATCTGCGTTGGTACAGAGATCTTCAAAAGTTAATCTACATCTCTCAAGGCCTCTCAGGGAGGGACATGAACACTGGATAGATTGGTCTACATTTATACCTGGGCTCTGGATATGTTGGTTATTTCCTGGTTTGTCATTCCCTAAGAAATCTGTAACTTCCTCTAATAAAATGAATAATGGAAACAATTTTAAATGGTTTGTTTGTGGTTTGCTCTCAAAGGAGTATCGAATGCACTAAACCTACAACCTTAAAGCTCTTAACATCTTTTCCACCTTTTTGAACAAAGTGAGCTGCCTTATCTTCAAGTTTAAATCCATTAACAGAGACGTAACCAAGGAAACATTCAAAACAGAGTTGTTTGAATCTACAGTTCAGATCCCTGAGTAGATGACAGATGTTACACTAAAAGTCAGTGACCAGCATGTCTAATGCTACAGTTGTACCTCATAAAACCTGCCTAAATCCCTTTGTGTTGTTAGGAGAGAGAAAAAAATTACATGCATACAAGGAAAAAAGCAGTCAGATAGGATTAATAGGTACAAATCAACATAAGACTTAACTCTTCTTGTATTTCACTAATAGACACATAAATTAATGCTTAGTGGCACAAGTACTTACATCGGTACCCAATTTTGTCAACGTGTGATGAAAGAAAACGTCGAGCTCCTTCTCTTCTATGTAACCTTTTTCTAAATGCAAGAAGATATGCATAAATAATAGTCACTTATATAGAATAACGTGTGACATTTAGTATTTATCTAGATTTGTTTTTAATCTCGAAATTTATAAAATCCCCATGGGTACTAGTCTTTGCTATTCTAGTAACTAAAGGCCCACATCTACCTCCAGAAAGCAAGGATTTGAGTAATAAACACACATTCAAAAATAAATGCTTTGTGCTAGTTTTATATGAATATTTGGAAAAGAAAAGCTATTAAAATATGAATTTTAATCCACAAATAAACATGAGTTTTAGAATAAAATCCAACCCAAGGATTTTGGAAGCTTGGAAAAAGTTAACAGATGTAAGTATTGAATCTTAGTTTCCAGGGTCAAAACACACACTTCAGATATTTTCTTTATGGTAGTTTATTAATAAAGACAAAGCAAAAGTTAAGTAGTTCCATTGTCTTTTCAAGTAGTTTTTTTGGAGGGGTGACGGTAGTGTTTTTTTGAAAGTTGATCAAATTCATCCTCCCTTTGAGAGAGTGAGGGTTATACCACAAAGTCACTGAGTGAAAATGAGCACATTTAGGGAGGGCTGACTTCAGATACCTGAGTGTCAGCCCACAAGACTCAAATATACGTGATGATATTTGCCATTATATATATGGTATATCATTACACACACGCACACACACACAGATTGGGAAGTGGGGCAAGTCCCTCCTTCCACCCTGAATTTTCACAAGATGTGTAACTCCAGTATACCAAACGTCTGCCAGGTATCCTGCGTTAGATATACTGCCTTAACGCTGGAAGACGACTTTCCCTGCAAGGAAAGACGTACGGGAAGGGGAAACTTCAGGTCCTTTCAGCGGGAGCGGGCGCGGAGCCACGTCTACACCTGAACGTGCAGGTGGCTTGTTCTACTCACCCTCCGCGTCAAAGCGCAGCCAGACCTGCCAGAAGCCAGCGGCATCCAAGCGCCCCTGCGTCTTTTCGCGGGCGCTGTCCATGGTATTGACCACGAAGCTTAGGCACTGGTTGGCAAGGAACACCTACAGAACTTTAGCGACGACTCCTTTATGATATTTTCTGACTCCCTCGCCTGCTTCTTTCACTCTCTGATTTGCTTGAGCACCTGTCTGTGGCTCGAGCGCGAGGGCGGCTGGCGAGACGGCTGGTGGCGCCTTGGCGTCGCCGAGCAGTCCCCAAGCCGGGACGGCGGGCTCTCAGCGAAACCAGCTGCCTGGAGCCCGCCCCGCTCCTGGCGCGTAGGTGCCTGCCCCGCCCTGCGCGCTGTCCCCGGCAGATCCACAGGGGAGCTCGTCTGCCTCCGCGCTGTGGGGAATTTGGGAAGAAAGGAGCTGTCTCCCAGTGTCTATGGTTCATGCTTTTAACCTTTAAGTTGTTTGTCAAACTCAGAAAACATCCCCTTTACGTTTGACTCACGTTGCAAATTTGTGTCTCAAGGATTTTTCCAAAGAGAGCTCCTGCCTAGTTAAAGGGTTGGAAGAGGTGTCAGAGTCCTTTGGACTTGATGAATTAGAAATGTAGTGTATGGGGAGGATTGCAGTGAGGTGGAGAAGGATGATAGTGATAATAGTAAGATATTACTATTAAGCATGGGGACAGTCAATAGCAATTATTGATCCCTAATTGTACAGAGCATGTACATTGTTGTGCTATAATGCACTAAAAAGATTTGCAACTAAGTAGAGATTCTGCAAGGAACTGTAGTTTAAAGCAGTGTGTTAGGATGTTGAGGAAAGTCCAAATATGCCAAGCTCTATCAGGAAAAGAGAGTCTGGGGGAGACATGATAGCCAACTGCAGAGTTCTTAGGTGGGAAGGCTTAGACGATTGTATTTGGCTCCTAAGAGCTGCAGGAAGACCAAAGGACTGAAATCATTTGGAGGAATACAGAGCTCTTTCTAACGATCAGAACTTTCAAAACTTGACTGGGTGCTTTGTGAAATAGTGAAATTGACTGACACTGACGGCTTCCAATCATGTGCTTAGAACCTTTTGCTGAGGAATCTATAGAAGGAGCTTGGGTATTAGGAGAGTTGGACAAGATATAGTCCAACTTCTTTATAGCACTCTGACTCTGATATTAGCATTCAAATTTATTCTTAAAACGAACATATTCACAAGCCATCTAAACGAGAGCAGTAAAAAGAACATAACATTCATGATAGACAGTCCTGGGTTTGGACCCAAGTTCCATCACTTACTAGCTTTGTGACCTGGGCCATTAGTCTTCATCTCTCTGAGCCTTGGTTTTTTCACCTATGAAATGAGGGTTGCTGTGACAATCAGAGCAATTCATAGCAGTGTGCAAAAAATCACAGCAGCTACGGTCTTGTAGAAGATAAGAGGTGACTGTCTTGTAAAATAAAATTTAGAGAAAGCATGGGATGTCTGAGTAACTGTCACAGCCCAAGAAGTCTAAGAAACCATGACGATTAAATATAATATTGTGTCCTGGATGGGATCTTGGAACAGAAAAAGGGCAGTAGGCAAAAATTAGGAAAATTTGAATAAATGTGAACTTTAGTTAATAATAATTAAAAAGAAATAATTTAGAGGCAAACAGCTCTAGGTATAGGGCCCACTTTTTCCTCTGACTAGCTGTGGTATTGGGCAAGTTACTCAAAAGAAGCCTTATTTTCTTTGCTTGTGAAATGGGGATAATAGTAGCATTTGAATCTGAATTGTCATAAAAGTTAAACTTAAAAATACATATAAACCTTTTAACACAGGAAACACCCAACATAAGTCAGCTACTAAAATTATGAATCTTCCGTACATATACATTTGGAAGATGGTGAGATAAACTTCAGGATTTTTGAGGAGTGTCGCTTAGGTTAAAAGAGGAAAGACAATATCATCGCTCCTGGGGAAAGTGTTGGATACAAAACTTGGAGGACATAGCAGGAGGAGAGGATAAGGGGCTCAGTATCCATAGCTACCTTCTGTAGCCCTGGGAAATTATTGGTTACAGTGTCAAACATCAGCCAGGAAGAGTCTTCTGTATGCACTCATCAGGTAGTGACCAATCTCATTTTCTGATAAAGGTGGAAAAAGGAAAAATGAGGCAAATAGAAGTAATAATCAAGGTCTAATATAGGGAGTTGTTAAATAAATGATGGTAAATATCTGTGATGGGCTTTGCTGAATACACAGAAATCTTGATTTTGAAGCCAAGTGGCCCCCCAAAAATGCTAACAATATAAGATTGAGATTAAAAGGTAAGTTACAAAAGTGTATGTATTGTATGGCTCAGTTATGTAAAATAAAATCATCTTTCTAAAAATAGAAAAAAGTGGAAGGATGTAAATAATCCTTGATTATAATGTTTATGTCGAATGCAGAGGAGGGAGACTCATGGATGATTTTAATTTTGCTATTTGTAATTCTTCTACTTTAAAACTTTCTACAGTAAGCATATAGTGCAAACATTTATAATTTTTAAAAGTTGCAAACGTGAAATCTAGGGAAAGGAGGAAGGATGTACAGCTACAAGGACTGCTGTTCTTCTTGGAACCGCAGAACAATGGAACTGGGAGCAGTTTCCGGGAGCCTGGCGTGCGGAGCTCTCTGGGGAGTTGTAATTTCCATTTGATGACTTATTTTCATTTTCTTTGTATCCAAATTTCTGTCATGGAACAAGATAGATAATGTTCAGATACCTTGAATTCTCTCATACAGAGATTTCCTTTGGGAAAATCATCCAAACCCTTTGCAGAGAAGAGAGCCGTTAGGAAGGTATTGAAAGATACTGGATCAGCAGGAGTCAGGAGTCACCTTTAAGACTATCTCACTGGAGACGTACTCCTACATGGGAATGGAGTGATGGGAGTGAGAGTGGAAGAACCGACGGTGAGTTACCTGAGACCTTCACTGTCCAACCAGAGAACTCAGAGTAAAGCAAATACAAAGCAGCTAGAATCAACTTGAGATGAATTATGCAGTTTATGGATTATTTTAGTGACTTTCACAGAGATTCTGATTTAAATGGTCTGGAGGGAGGACTTTGCATTGATACTTTTTAAAAACTCTCCTAGAGATTATATTAAAACCACTAACTAGCCTTTTGTCTCTAAGTTTCCTCTTGCTTATTTTGGTCATTTTATTATTTGTGTATGGCTTCTCTGAAGGACAATCTGGACAAGCAAAGGACTGCTAAGGAATTAATACTATTTTTTATTAATACCCCATCTCTTCCAAAAAGAGATTAGTATTTATACATGTCACTCTAGTAAGTTTTAACAACTGGTGGCTGAAACTAAGAACTGCAAAGTGTTGTTTTTCTTTTTTATCCCTGCTGAATTCATTTTCTCCTGCAATCATTTCCTGCTTTTCTCATTAGCATAGCTAATTGATGGTTAGTTGTACAAAAAACATCCGTGGTCTATAATTTGAAGCACTGCTAATAACCCAGATAAATGCATTAAACTCTGAGTTAGAATACCTACATCTTTTTGCAAACTTGGAATGACATTTCTAGCTGGAAGTATAAACAATGCTTTCTTTGGCATCATCTCCCAATAGTTACTGAACATTCAAACCTGGGGATACCTCACAGATTGTATGGTAGACCTTAGAATTCAAAGAGATTGCCTTGGTTTAATGCCACACCAGCTCCAAAGGGCAAAGAAAGTAGACCAAAAGAAACCAGAGAATATTTATCATAAGAAAATACTGGAAATAGAGTTAATACTTTTATAAAAATACATCTTTTATTGTTTCTTTTGTAATCATATGAATAATACAGACCATTTATATAATATATGTCATAAAAGAAAAAAGAAAAAGTAAAGATTTCCCCATAATTTCACCACCTAGAGAAACCAAGAATGATAACACAATGGTGTACATCCTTCCAATCTTCTTTCTATATACAAAAATTGGACTATACTGTTCTGTAATTTGCTTGTTTCACTTAATATTATGAACACCTTACATGTCATTAAATAGTCTCCAATACATCATGTTAATGGTGGTATTACCATAATTTATTGAACTACTGTCCTCTTTCTAGACTTTAAATTGTCCCTAGGTTTTCACTGTCATAATCAGTACTATGACAGCTAAATATTTGCACACTCTCATAATTATTTCTTTGGGATAAAATTCTAAATGCAGAAGTGCTGGACTGAATGATACATAACATTTGAAGTCTTTAATACACATTTTTTAAATGGCTTTCTCTATCTTGATTTTGCCAGTTTATTCTGCTATTAGTGGTATAAGAGAGTACTTTTTTCCTCACCTTAGCAATAAACTCAAAAATGTTTGAATGGGATTAATTCTCAAGTAGTATTTAATAGTTATTTTATGGTGAGTGTTTTGGGTTTTAGGATTTATTGAAAAGTGGGCTATGTGTTCAATTCTGTGATACTCTAATGGCTCATGAAAATCCCTTTTGCTCTTTCTGCCCTACTGCCTAACGCACAGCAGCTGGCACAGTGTATTGCAAACAGTGGTTATTTAGTATTTCTATATTTCCCAAAGAATATCACTTTTTCTAAACATGTGATATGTCACTAAGTTATAGAAGAAGACTTTGATAACCTATACAAAAGAGCAAAGCCAGTTTTTCAAAATCTCTAGGTCTGTTAAAATAAGTTAAGATCACACATATTTTTCCAGCTTATGTATACAGACTCTGTACAGAGTCATCTCACTACAAATTTAATAATACAAAAGCATAGTGTAGCTTTGTTATTTATTTTCTCCTTCACTTATTCCCCCTCTCATTTACATTCCTAAATGATATAAAGGTTCTATATCGCTGGGTATCATGTCTGATGCATAGCACCTGTTGAATCAATGGTGGCCATAACTACATCCAGGTGACACATAAAATAAGAACTTTATTGTGTTTATTTGCCAAATGGTTTGTAAATTTTATTTACAAAACATTGCTACCCTAATAAGCATTTCTTTTCCTAACTTAATTATCTGGATGCTTAACTTGTTAATTTGAGGCTTCTTTCTTTTTAATTTCATCATTTCAAAGCTATAAATTTCCCTCTAAGTACTGCTTTAGGTACATCCTACAAGTTTTGTTTAATTAGAGGGTTTTTTAAAAATTTCCACTATTATATCCTTTGACACATGAGTTTAGACGTTTCCTAAATTCTAAATACATGCGGTTTTTCTGGATATCTTTTTGTTATTAATTTTTAACCTAATTGCGCTGTAGTTGGAGAATGTGGTCTATGGTGTTCA